GCCTGAGCTCAAGCTACTGCCTCGGCCTCCCAAAGTGCTGGGATTACAGGTGTGAGCTACCATGCTCACCTCCATCTCATTCCACAGTTACCTTTTCTTCTTTTTTCAATTCAAATAGTTAACATTTGGATGTTAGTTTTATTAAGCTGATATTTCATTGTATTGTTTCTTTGTTGCGTACAGGGCAAACTCCAGAGTCTGAAATTTGAAAAATTTCTGTAGACTGATTCTTATCAGCCTATCACAATCTTTATCTTTTTCACTTTTTTTCAGCTGCTGAGTCACTGTGTCTCAAGCAGGACTTTCTAACTAAGAGTGTTTGAGCCGCTGGGCTTGGTGGCTCAGCCTGTAATCCTGCACCTTGGGAGGCTGAGGTGAGTGAATTGCCTGAGCCCGCGGGTTCGAGACCTGCCTGGGCAACTTGGCGAGCCCACCTCTCTACAATAATTAAAAAATTAGCCGGGTGTGGTAGCGCATGCCTGTAGTTCCAGCTACTTGGAAGGCTGAGGCGAAAGGATCGCCGGAGCCCAGCAGGTTGAGCCTGCGGTGGCTGGGAGTGGCCACTGCACTCCAGTCTGAGCGACAGAGTGAGACTCCAACTCAAAAAAAAGAGTGCTTGAGCCTGGGAACATTGTTTCTTTGTTATTTGCACAGTAATCAGTCAGTCTCTCTCTAAAAAACTCCCACTATTGAAAGGTCTAGGAGACTGAGGTGGGAGAATCGCTTGAGCCCAGATGTTGAGGCTACGGTGCATTATGATTGTGTCACTGCACTCAGCTGGGGCACAGAGTGAGACCCTGATTTAAAGAAAGAAAAAAAAGTCTCAGGAAGTGCAGAAAAGAAACCTGGGCATCCTTTTGTAGAGATATAAGCTTTTAGTATTTTCACAGTGAGTCTACGTAAGCTACTGCAGTAAACAGTGCCACTGATTCCGGATGCATCCCGAGTCCCCCAAATCAGCACTGTCCAATCAAATACATACATAATGTGAGCTATGTGTGTAATTTAAAATTTTCTAGTAGTCAGATAAAAACAAAAAGAATATCTAAACTGGGCTCGGTGGCTCAGCCTGTAATCCCGCGCTCTGGGAGGCTGAGGTGAGTGGATTGCCTGAGCCCGAGGGTTCGAGACCCACCTGGGCAGGTGAGACCTCATCTCTACAATAAATCAAAAAATCCGCCGGGCGTGGTAGCGCATGCGTGTAATTCCGGCTACTGGGAAGGCTGAGGCGGAAGGATCGCTGGAGCCCAGCAGGTCGAGGCTGCGGTGGCCGGGAGCGGCCACTGCACTCCAGTCTGGGCGACAGAGTGAGACTCCGACTCAAAAAAAAAATAATAAAAATTTAAAAAAATAAATAAATAAAATAAAAGAATGTGAATCCTGAGAATTGGCAACTTAAAAAAATATATATAGCCGGGCTTGGTGTCTCAGCCTATATAATTCCACGCCTTTGGGAGGCTGAGGTGAGTTGGATTGCCTGATCCCGCGGGTTCGAGACCCGCCTAGGCAACTTGGCAAGACCTCATCTCTACAATAAATAAAAATTAGCCGGGCGTGGTAGCGCGCGCCTGTAGTTCCAGCTATTTGGAAGGCTGAGGTGGAAGGATCGCTGGAGCCCAGTAGGTCAAGGCTGCAGTGGCTGGGAGCAGCCACTGCACTCCAGTCTGGGTGACTCCAACACAAACAAACAAACAAGAAATATATATACCCTTAATGCAATTAAATGCTAACATCCACACTTGGGGAATATCTTGAAGCACACTTTCAATTTAATTCAATTAAATAAACATTTATTAAGCAATTACTACATTTTGTGCTGGATAAGAAGGGTATCTGTTTTCCCAATGGCTCATAGATTTACAGGGATTTTGAAAGATCATATAGAAATATGCTTTGCTTTCCGAACACATCTCATATCATCTGGAGTGACTTTGGTTATACTTCTTACATTGTATCACAATTACACTGCTTTTATTTGCCTGTCTTCACCAGAAGACTGTCAATTCAAGGGCAAAGACCTTTTCTTTGCTTTGTGTCTCTAATGTATAAATTTTTCTTTTTTCTTTTTTTTTTTTTGTGTTGGAGTCTCACTCTGTCGCCCAGACTGGAGGAGTGCAGTGGCCGCTCCCGGCCACCACAGCCTCGACCTGCTGGGCTCTGGCGATCCTTCCACCTTTGCCTTCCAAGTAGCCGGAACTACAGGCGCGTGCTACCACGCCTGGCTAATTTTTTGATTTATTGTAGAGACGAGGTCTCGCCAAGTTGCCTGTGTAGGTCTTGAACCCACGGGCTTAGGCAATCCACTCACTTCGGCCTCCCAAAGCGCTGGGATTACAGGCTGAGCCACCGAGCCCAGCCACGTGTAAATTTTTCTAACATGTAAAGTGTCAGTATCTGATATATAGTGGGGGCTAAGGAAACATTCTTTTAATTACATGAATTAAAGAATAAATAAATGGACCAGGAATGGGGGCTCATGCTGGTAATCCTAGTTCTTTGGGAGGCCAAGGCGGGACGATCACGTGAAGCCAGGAGTTCAAGACCAGTCTTGGCAACATAGCAAGATCCTATTTCTATTTAAAAAAAAAAAATGACTGGAGTGTGTTGGCTTTGCTTTAGTCATAGCTACTGGGGGGCCTATGGTATCGGGATTGAGCCTAGAAGTTCCAGGTTACTGTGAGTTGTGATTGCACCACTGAAGTCCAGCCTAGTCTATAGAGTGAGACTGTCTCTAAAAAACATAAAAACTTAAAAAAAATAAAAAATAAATAAAAGAGCCGGGCTCGGTGGCTCAGCCTGTAATCCTACGCCTTTGGGAGGCTGAGGTGAGTGGATTGCCTGAGCCCGTGGGTTCGAGTCCCACCTGGGCAACTTGGCAAGACCTCTCTCTACAATAAATCAAAAAATTAGCTAGACGTGGTAGTGCGCGCCTGTAGTTCCAGCTACTTGGAAGGTTGAGGCGGAAGGATCGTGGAGCCCAGCAGGTCGAGGCTGCCGTGGCCGAGAGCAGCCACTGCACTACAACTCAAAAAAATATAAAAGTAAAAAATAAAAATAAATGAACAGGGCTGAGCCCTCTTTTATCATCAGAACTTGTTAATTTCTAACAAGCTATGCAATTTACTTATTTATTATCTATATCTACTACCAGAATATAAGCTCTTTGAGAGAGAAATCTTTGTTCACTAATGTCTCCCACGTGCTACAATGTCCAGACGTAGATATACAACAAATACTTGCTAATAAAATGCTTTTTTTAGAAATTACTCAGAGGATGTGATTCATTCAAATAAAAAATTAGCCAAGTGTGGTACAGTAAGGCTGCAGTGAGCTATGATGTGCCACTGCATTCCAGCATGGGCAAAAGAATGAGATTCCATCTGTAAAAAAAAAAAAGAAAAAAACCAGACACTGCTAAAAATAAAATTCTGAAATTTCACTTGGTCACACTTCCATGATGCCTTAAGATGTTCCTAGGGTGGGCGTGGTGGCTCACGCCTATAATCCCAGCACTTTGGGAGGCTGAGGTGAGAGAATTGCCTGAGCCCAGCCTGGGAAACTTGGTGAGACCCCCATCTCTACCATAAATAAAAAAATTAAGCAGGTGTGGTGGTGTGTGCCTGTAGTTCCAGCTACTTGGAAGACTGAGGTGGAAGGATCGCCTGAGCCCAACAGGTCAAGGCTGTGGCTAGGAACGTGACACTGTACCCCAGCCTGGGTGACAGAGTGAGACTACTACTTAAAAAAAAAAAAAATGTTCCTGTGATCAGCTGAGTTCTTGAAGCCTTCACATACTTCTGATTATTCTGCATCTACTAATGGAACATCTTTAGTCACAGTCCTCCTACTAGGACTTAGCAACTGTTGATATATTCTCTTTCTCCTCCACGAAAGTGTGTATGCTAGCTTTCCTTCATGGAGAGAGAAAAACTTCATGGAGGCAGTGAAGGGCAACTTGCAGGGTACTTATTTTTGGTAAAAATTAGCTGCTGTCACCCTAACCGGTGAGACAGTTAACCTCCTTAAATCTCTGGCTCACAGAAGGGAACAGATTTCTGATTGTAGGCCTCTCACAATTCACGAAGGAGCCAAATTGGTCCCCATTTCTGGACAAAGTTGATGGAACCTGGATTGGGTTTATAGCCCAAGGAAATGAGCCTGACCTTTCCAGAGCACTTTCTTGAAATTCTGACAGAAGATTAAAATGCCAGTCCTGAAGAGACCCTGTGAGGTCAGTTCTGTTCCGGTCCTCTGAAGACCTAATGGCTGCCTGAGGTGGATTGCTAGATTCTGCCCTCTACCCCGTATTCATAGCATTTGGTCCATCTCATTTTGTACAACCAAAATAAAATGTTTAACTTGATTAATGAAAAATAAACCCAGTTCTTTTAAAGTTTAACATTTTAACTGGAAACAGGTCATATGGGCCGGGCTCAGTGGCTCAGCCTGTAATCCCAGCACTTTGGGAGGCCGAGGCGAGTGGACTGCCTGAGCCCACGGGTTTGAGACTAGCCCGGGCAACTTGGCGAGACCTCATCTCTACAATAAATCAAAAAAATTAGCCGGGCGTGGTAGTGCGCGCCTGTAGTTCCGCCACTTGGAAGGCTGAGGCTCAAAGATCGCTAGAGCCCAGCAGGTCGAGGCTGTGGTGGTTGGCCGGGAGCGGCCGCTGCACTCCAGTCTGGGCGACAGAGTGAGACTCCAACTCAAAAAACCCAACAACAACGACAACACAAAACAAAAAGCAGTTCATATGTCTGTTGTCCAATGCAAGTTCATAGGCAAAGTGCAAGAAACAGAAGGAAATGCTGCACGTCTGTATAGATCAACCTGAAAAGATATCTGGGTATTCGGAATGGAAAAAGCAAGTAGTTAAACAATAAGTACAGTGAGAGTTCATTGATAAACACTGTTCCAAACTTTATATTCACGTGGTGTTATTTTTTGCAATTATGTAGTGTTTTGCAATATAAAAACAACAAAATTAACACATTTCAAAATAATGTTCAAAACACATTTATTTACTAAATCACTTAAGGTTGACATATGATATAATTTTAACAAAGTGTTTAATGAAAAATTGTGGTATACAATGTACTTATCTTTTTTTTTTTTTTTTGAGTTGGAGTCTCACTCTGTCTCCCAGACTGGAGTACAGTGGCTGCTTCCGGCCACTGCAGCCTCGACGA